ACCTACCGCGGCTCTTCAATAATTTCTAGAAATCTGTAATTACTATTTTTATATTATGTTCTCCACTTTTTTGCTAACGTTTTTTAATCTTTTCTTTTTAATAAATCTAGATCCGGAACACCCGCAAGGAACAAGTATTTGTATGGCCTGCAACCATACAAATACTTGTTCCTTGCGGTATTCGAACCCGTGGCCGTCAGAGCTATTACTCATTGCTAAGCTACTGCACCACGGAGCCGTCATTGCCGTCATGGCCGAGTACAAATACCTAAAATTAAAGTAATATTAAAGATAATGATTTCTTATATTTACGCGAACACTACACGTTGATTAAAACTACTTTTAGGGAAAAACTAATTTTATTTTTTCCGTTGAATTTTATTTTAATTTAAAACTAATTTTATAATCAATAAAATTAAAACTAATCCCAAGCATACCATTTCAAGATTTCAAAACACAGTCAGTTCATTTGGCATAGATCGGACCATAAACAATAATTTAAAAAGCTGAAGGTACTCCGGGTTTAACAATGACATCGAAACATCAGTCATCTCAGTCCCCCGTGACCATGGGTGCTGGAAAGCTATCCGAAACGTCGGGAATTAAAAATTATCAAAATTAAATGCGATAAAACCCATAAAAGTAGTTTTAATTAATATTAAAGTTAATTTCTGATCGTTTTAAAATAATTCTGTAGGATTTTTCAATTAACAATAATAAAAAATAATTGAATCTCAATAATAATTACATAGTAAAATAAAAAAATCTATTATGGCCCCTACGGATAAGAATGGGATTATATACGACTATGTACCGTCAACATGCACGATACAAATAACGAAAACCCGCTAATAACGGTATATCGTTATTGTATGTTAATTAAAACGTAACGTTATTCGATTAGTTTTAAATTTCTATTAATATATAATTTTTTTTTATAGGATAGGGTGACAAACGAGCACACAGTCCACCTGATGGTAAGTGGTTGCTGTGGCCCATAGACATCTACATCTATCCTCGATTACGAATCAAAATGCAGATGCGTTGTCACCCGTGAGGACTAAGATGGAATGCCTCCTTTCCAGTAAAAAGGGTCTCCGGTTCTCTACACTCACCATACGAAATACAGCAGCATTAAGCTACTATTTCACGCTGGTATTCTGTGAGAGCGTGGTCCTTCCCCGGTCGAGCCGACCCATTCGTGCTACAACTATATTACTAATATAACTGCAACATGGCTCTACCACGTATAAAGTAATATATTGAATATAAAAATAAAATAATTGAATAGAATTATATACACAAGTAGACACATTAATTTTAAAATAACATTTATAACCAGTGACCCGCACTGGCTTCGCTTGGACAAAATAGTTTTATTTATAAGTATAGATTAGTAAATTATTTACGAAGACTAAAATAAAACAATGTATTTCTTAAATTAAGTTTGTATTTATTTGTCTAGAAAATACGTATTTCAAATAGGACAGACAGGCAAGAAACTCTATAGACATATATTTTTTTATATATATTAGTCTTTGAAAACTCAATTCTTCTACTTGAACCTTAACCAGAATCGTCTGAGAACACTTTGATTCCCAACATCCCATCCTTATATGATTATGAAATCATTGTTAGAATCGGAGCAGCGATCGCTTTCACAATCGCTATTCAGCCACGATGCTATTTGGAAGTATGTTAGGGATTAGTTTTTCCTCAATATATTTAGTAAAATTTTGCCTATTCATTTCATCATGGTAATCGCCTTTTTTGGTTTTGACCTTAAACATCAACTCAGCACCCTTCAAAAATCCATTTTTTGAACCTGCATGCACAATAATCCATCTCATTGGTTCCGTGCCACCAAGTGTATTACTGTTTATATCTTGTTTTCATTATTTGTTATTTAAGTGTAGAGTATTCAGTATTATAATAGTAACAATTAGAAAAAAATATATAGATTCGATGATGGTATTTACTCGGTAAATCGTTGGAAATTTTTTTATTTTTCGAGATTTCTTATACAAAGACCCCCTTGGGCTTTTACTTCTTATTCGTTTCATTATTTGTCATTAAAGTGACCATAATAGTAACTAATAATTAAAAAGTTACAACCCTGTGACAAAGAAAGAGATAGATTTAGTAATATAGTTGAGCACTTCGCCGAGTGGTGGCACTGTAAGAATATCTACTACCCCATATCACCAAGTGGGTGTCGTAAGAGGCGACAGAGGGTAACAAATCAGGAGATGGCCAGCAGCATCTTCCTAATAACGATTAAAAACAAAAAAAAACTGCGGTTGCCAACGCGCTTGTATCGCAAGGCAACTATGGCAAAAATCCCCCATATGATCCAAGTGTGATAAGTAAGTATATATTCAGTGGTGGACTATAATAGGATCTAACGGTACAATACGGTACGGGGCATACTTTGTGTACGCAATCCTAAGAAAGGACAACGCTTGAAATAACGAATATTGAATACCAAACACAATACTTTTGTTCAAACAATTAATATTATAAACAAACGTTTAGCTACCAGATGAACTTGGTACACACGATCTTTTTTAATTCGAGTGACACTCCTGTTGCCACACTCGCCCTTGCATTACTATATTGCAATGGGTGATAACGTTCTAGATTTTTCTCTTTCTCAATAAACTTTATTAAATTTTAAACAATTAAAATTGTAATTTTATCTGTAGCACTATATAGTAATTTTCCGCGTTTAAGCTCAATTGTTTACATTTTGTAAATAAAATAATAAAAGAAAAACACCAAATAACGTAATAATCAACAAAAACGAAATAAATAACAACAATTTACAATAAATAATAAACAAAAACAATAACAGCCACTTAACAAAAGTATTAACAAAATCAACAACAATTATTTAAAAAAACTTTCAGAACGCTCACAAATCTGCGATATGGGGATATTTTTTTAGTTTATGGCATTTTGTTACCATTTATGCCAATGAAAAGTCGGGCTGAAGTTATAGCACGTACGAAAATCGCACATCACAACATATTTTTTTGTAGTCTCTGCCGCAGGGTGTGAGTAAAGATAGCGACAGTGTGCGAGCGAGAGATAAATAGAGGCGATCGTAGACATAGAATCATATCTGTCTACGGAGGCGATGCCATCTTCAGTCCCATTCTTTAACCGCATGAGTAGTATTGATTGAGAATTTTTTTTCTACATTATGCATTATGAGTAGAGCACTTTTAGATTTTCCAAACTTTTTTTATTGACGTTTGACATAAAACTATCGGAAAATTGGAAGTAATAGTAATAAGGTTATTTGTGAAAACATGTGTGTATTAAAATTACGTTTAAAATATCATGCACGTTTGGATTTACCAAAAATTTTTTCTTTATTATTGAGTAAACTTTCTGGATGATATTCTAATAAGGCAATAAATATGCTATCGTGATAATGACCTTTTTAAGCCCCTTGACTTTGTTTCCCTTCGTTAGATGAAGTGAGGGACTCCGAGTGCCGTAATCTTGTTTATTTATGGGCAATAAATTGTATCCATCAATAAACATCGCCACCCATTTAATAATTGCATTCTAAATAGTACTTTTAAAAAGGTTTACAAGGATTTTTATAAAAATAATTCCTTGAAAACTTTATACGTAAACTATATAAATAATAATATTAATTATACAGGGTGGTCCAAACAGTGAGGTTATAAAATTTTTTTTTGATTCCTCACACCTAGGGGTATCCGAAAATACCCTATGTATGTTACGCGATTTTTTGTAGTTTTCGAGTTATGATTTTTTTACCCTTTTTTTTGAAAATATTCACCCTAAACAGCTTAAGAAATTTTTTCCAAGTTTTTTTGTTTGTAGCATGATTCTTATGAGTTGCTCTATTATGCGTAAAATAATTAGCTTCCTAACATTCACAGAAGATACAATAATTTTAATCGAACCTTAAAAATTTTCTGTCAGGAGAGTGGGGCTTGAATTTTCAACATTAAATGAAAAATAGTAATAAATGATTTCATACTTTCTAATTAATTTTAAAAACTTGGCAGTACCTTAATCTTTCATAATAACATTAAAAAAATGACACTTAATAGGCCAGTTTTTCTGTTACAGACTTCTGAAGTCACTCAGGCAGGAAACTACCTGAATAGTTAATTTGATTTAAAAAATCTTTTTTATCATTTCTAGGGCTAAACTAAGATAGTAAATGCTTCAGGTTAGCAAAAATAACATCAAGTGTCTTTACTTATTGTTTAAAATTTATAGACAACAAGGTATCATTTTACTACGTTCTGGACAAATGATTTCAAGATTCATAATAAAAGTAGTAAATAATTTAAGATAAATTTATTTAAAGTAAATTTTCGAAATGGCGGCCATTAACTTCGATACACAGTCTACATCGTCTTAAAAATTTGCTTTTAGTCTTCGAAAAGCATTCGTATTTTCTTTGATTTTTTCTGCGCACTGTCTCAATTTTTCCCTTAATTCATTTTCCGAATTAATTTTTCTAGCATACACCATCTCTTTGTAGAATCCCCAAATAAAAAAATCTATAGGGTTTAAATCTGGTGAGCGTGCAGTCCATTCGATTGGCCCTGCACGCCCAATCCTGGGACAGTTCTGTTGAGGTGCTCCCTCACTTGTCTTTCAAAATGGCAAGGAGCACCGTCGTTTTGAAATATCATATCCCTCCTCGTTTGTAAATTAACTTCAAACAATAAACCATTTAAATTATTTTGTAGAAAATTCAGGTACTGGGACCCGTTCAACCTAGACGACAATTCAAAGGGCCCAACCATTTCTCCATTTATGACTCCTGACCACATGTTGATACTAAATCTATTCTGAAAATTTGACTGCCTTGCTTTTTTTGGGTTTTCAATGGCCCAGCTATGATGATTGTGAATGTTAAAGACGTCAGTCCTTTCAAACCGGGATTCATCCGTCCAGAGTATCTTGTTAAAAAAAATCCGGGTCTTCCGCAGATCTTTCCAGCATTATTTGGCAGAAAGCAACACGCCTTGGATAGTCTGCGTCGTTAAGTTGTTGAACACGCTGAATATGAAACGCGTGATATCCCTCTGGAAAAAAAGGTTAGTATTTTTATTGTAGGTTGTCATTGTACACAATACTAGAGGTACGTACCAATAGAGCACGTGAACGTGAAACTAAAAGTTGGGATTCACTAGAGTGGCGTCCTAGCGCCTATTTTTGAATTACGAGCGCTTGTTTAAGGATCTCTACATCTCTCTCTTTTACACACACACAACACATTAGACATCGACAATTCACAGTAAATTAAATGAGTGTGATTTGAAATGGCAGTGCAGCAATGTGTTGGGATTTTGAATAAAGAGGTCTACAAAATAATAAAATGCACTCACCTGATTTCGGTATTCTTAAAACTGAAGTCCTTGGGATTCCAGTCCTTCTCGTAATCGCTCGTGAACTAGTAGAAGGGTCTCTTTCTACTTCTTCAATGATTACATCTCTTCTTTCTGGATCCACTCTAGGTAGTCCCTCGCGACGTTGATTACGCCCAGGAACGCGTCCAGCCATCAGGGTTTCGTGGGTCTTATTAAAAACCCTGTAGCCCGGGTAATGCTTTAACACTTCTCCTCGCCGCTCTAGTTGCTCTCGATAAAGCCGTGCCGCTAATGCGCCGTTTCCTTGGGCAACGCCGTAGAAATAGTGCGTCTCTGCGTATTGACTGAGAGAATAACTCATTGCTAAAAGTAACCCAAATCACTAAGCAACTCAAGGTCCATAAAACAAGCAAAGGTCAATCGTAAGGCAAATCAAGAATCCGGGAAACAAAGCGAAGGTAGTCAAATAAGAGATCCAAATAAACGTAAACGTGAGCAGTGGTTGCACGCGGGAAAGCAGTGAACGACTGGCGGGACCGAGCGAGGTGAAAAAGGGACGCAGTCGGTGTGGCGCGGGGCGCGGGGTGCGGCCTGGTAAGAAAATAGAGCGCAAAGCAGGAATGTTTACCTGAGCCTTTGTTTAAAATTCCTTTGTGTGTTTGTGACTGAATGTGCTATCATTTAGTTTCAGTGAAATAAAAAAAACATGTAATTTGTAGTAAAATTATACCTTAATAAATGTCACGTTTTAACAATAAGTAGTTTTCTTTGCTAACCTGAAGCATTTACTATCTTAGTTTAGCCCTAGAAATGATAAAAAGATTTTTTAAATCAAATTAACTATTTAGGTAGTTTCCTTCCTGAGTAACTTCAGAAGTCTGTAACAGAAAAACTGGTCTATTAAGTGTCATTTTTTTAATGTTATTATGAAAGATTAAGGTACTGCAAAGTTTTTAAAATTAATTAGAAAGTATGAAATTCATTTCTTACTATTTTTCATTTAATGTTGAAAATTCAAGCCCCACTCTCCTGACAGAAAATTTTTAAGTTTCGTTTAAAATTATTGTATATTCGGTGAATGTTAGGAAGCTAATTATTTTATGCATAATAGGGCAACTCATAAGGATCATGCTACAAACAAAAAAACTTGGAAAAAAATTTCACAATTATTTTTTTTAATGTTAAGCTGTTTAGGGTAAATATTTTCAAAAAAAGGGTAAAAAAAATCATAACACGAAAACTACAAAAAATCGCGTAACATACATAGGGTATTTTCGGATACCCATAGGTGTGAGGAATCAAAAAAATTTTTTATAACCTAACTGTTTGGACCAACCTGTATAATTAATATTATTATTTATATGATTTACGTATAGACGTGGTAGAACCACGCTGCAGCTATATTATGGTTGTAGCACGAATGGGTCAACTCGACCGGGGAAGGACCAGTTTTTACAGAATGTACCAGAGTAAAATAGTAGCTCAATGTTGTTGTGTTTCGTATACACATACAGTCAGGGGGTTTTCATGCTGGTCTACCTTTCCGGTGATCCTGTTATGGAATACGGGTACGCGACCCCGGCTCCCCGAGCTACTGTTATTCTCATACCTTTCCTGCCGAGATAACAGTATCCTAACACTTACGCTCCTACCCCCAACCTTCTTTTTCCTTTTCCCAAAATGGTAGCTTCCTCTACCAACAATAGCATACCCAAAGAGGGTTGGTGTCAGGCAGGCGGCCGACTGTAAACCTTTTGCCAAATCCCATGCAGTAAACCTATGAATAGTACGAGTTGCGGGATATATGACAGGGCTAGGGCGTACCCCGCAGGCGACGCGCAGGGGCAGCACCCGGCTCCTGTGGGAAGTGGGCAAGGGTTGTCGCACCTTACGGAGCGGGTGCGACGTAAGAAGTGAGCCCGGAGAGAGAAGAATGTCAGAGTGAGGTTTGCAAGCTGGAATGTAGGTACGATGACTGGAAGAGGAAGAGAGTTAGCAGATGTTTTGAAACGACGAAGAGTGAATGTTGCCTGTTTGCAGGAAACAAAATGGAAGGGCAATAAAGCAAGAGAGATTGGGGAAGGATACAAGTTTTATTATTGTGGAAGTGATGGGAAGCGAAATGGAGTAGGAGTTGTGTTAGATAGTGGAATGAAAGAACGAGTGACAGATGTGAAAAGAGTAAATGACAGAATGATAATTGTCAAATTAATGATTGAAAACAAAGTAGTGAATGTTGTAAGTGTGTATGCTCCGCAAACAGGCTGTGAAGAGAGTGTGAAAGAGAAGTTTTGGGAGGAATTTGATTGTATGATGATGGGAATACCTGAAAGTGAGGATGTTTATATGGGAAGAGATTTTAATGGACATGTAGGGAGAGTGAATGACGGGTATGAAAGAGTACACGGTGGATGGGGGTACGGAGTGCGGAACCGGGAGGAGGAAGTTCTTCTGCAAGCAGCATGTGCTTTCGACCTGGCTGTAGTAAACACGTGGTTCCAAAAACGAGATCAGCATCTTGTTACTTATAAAAGTGGCCACCACGCGACACAGATCGACTATTTTCTGATAAGACGGAACCAAATCGAGAGTATAAAAAACTGCAAAGTGCTTACAGGTGAAGACTTAGTATCCCAGCACCGAATTCTGCTGGCTGACATCTGCTTAACTGTTCGCCTCAACAAACATAAGGATCGTCCCCCACCCAAAATAAAGTGGCATTTGTTGCATAAGGAGGAGTATGCAAGTGAATTTAGAGAGCTAGTTGTAAACAAGATGATAGAGATGGGTGATATGGAAGAAATGAGTGTGAATGAGTGTTGGAAGGAAATGGCTGATTGTATCCGAAGTGTGGCAAGGAAGGTGTTAGGAGAAACAAAAGGGAAGCGTATGATAGATAATGATGGGTGGTGGTGGAGTGAAAGTATTAGAGAAGTTTTGAGAGAAAAGAAAAATGCCTTTAAAGAATGGCAGAGCGTAGAAGACCAGAATGAATCCATAAAAGAAAGTAAGAGAGGGGCGTATAAAGAATGTAAGAAGAGAGCGAAGAAGGAAGTTGCTATTTGTAGGGCAGAGGCGCAAGATAAATTATATCGGTCCCTTGAAAGCCCCGAAGGTCAAAAACGACTTTTTCAAATTGCAAGAGCGAGAGAAAGGAATGGAAGATATGTTTCACATATGAAATGTATAAAAGATGATTCTGGAAGGATTTTGACTCAAGATGAAAGTATAAAGAAGCGATGGATGGAGTATTTTGAGAAATTGATGAATGAGGAGAATGAATGGAATGGTGTGCTTGAAAACCCACCAGTGAATACGGGCCTAGTGAGAGAAATTAGTGTGGAAGAAGTAAGAAAGTAAAAATGGCTGTTAGGAAAATGAAGAATGGGAAGGCGGTCGGCCCGGATGAAATACCAGTAGAAGTGTGGAAGTCGCTGAGTGCGGATGGATGGAAGTGGTTGAGTTTATTTTTCGGTAAATTGTGGCAGGAAGAACAAATACCTGAGGAATGGTGCAGTAGTATACTGGTCCCCATTTTTAAAAACAATGGAGACGTTCAAAACTGCAGCAGTTACCGGGGAATAAAACTCATGTCACACACGATGAAAGTCTGGGAAAGAATAATAGAGAGAAGAATGAGAGAAGAGTGTGAGATAACACAAAACCAGTTCGCATTCATGCCCGGTCGAGGTACGATAGATGCCATTTTCGCATTACGCCAATTGTGCGAAAAGTACAAGCGCGTGCATAAAAATCTGTACATGGTTTTTGTCGACCTTGAAAAGGCGTACGATCGGGTTTCCCGTGAGGTTTTGTGGTGGGCGTTAAAGATGAAAGGTATGCCCGGGAAGTATGTGAGGTTAGTACGTGCTATGTACATAGCATCCCGTACAGGTGTACGATCTGCCGCGGGAACTACGGGCAGTATCGGTGTGGCTGTAGGTCTGCACCAAGGGTCGGCATTGAGCCCTTACCTCCTCCTACTGATTATGGACGCTTTGACGTCGGACCTGCAGGATGAGGCACCCTGGTGCATGCTCTTTGCCGATGACATCGTGCTTGTCGGGAAAGAGGGCATCGAGGTACAGAGCAGACCGACGGGGTGACAACAGAGGCTGCAAAGTGTTGGCTTGAAGATCAGCAGATCCAAAACCGAATATCTGTGCTGTGATTTCGGCGGTCTTTCCAGTCCTGAACCCATGTCGTTGGATGGCGCTATACTGCCTACCTGCTCAGATTTCAGGTACCTCGGTTCCCTCATTCAAGGCGACGGCGAAATAGATAGAGCTGTGCAGCATGGGATTAACGCAGGGTGGATGAAATGGCGACAGGTCGCAGCCACAACGTGCGGTCCCCGAATGCCAATAAGGCTGAAGGGGAAAATTTACAAATCGATCATCCGACCTGTCGTCATGTATGGAAGTGAATGCTGGGCCGTCAAGAAGAAGGATGAAAATAGATTGCATGCGAATGAAATGAGAATGTTACGATGGATGTGTGGTGTGACAAGGATGGATAAGATAAGGAATGAGTATATAAGAGGAAGCCTGAAAGTAGCGCCAGTGGTAGAAAAGGTGAGAGGAAGCAGATTGGCATGGTTTGGGCATGCGATGCGGAGGGATGAAAGTCATGTCACAAAACGAGTGTTGAATATGAACGTGGAGGGACACACGGGCAGAGGAAGGCCGAATAAAAGATGGATCGATTGTGTGAAG